TCCAAACTCACTAACCAGTGAGCAGGACTTCTCCGTCTTCAGCATCGCGTGGAATGTGTTTCTGCTGCTAATGGGCTTACACTGGATGTGGAAGCAGATTACCAGGCCTCCTATCAGATGTATGGAGCGCCAACAACCAAAATCAAAAGCAGCAGCGAACCAAAGAGTTCCATTCCTCGAACCCGAGGATGAACCGCAGACGCGTGAACCTTTAGGACCCAACAGGGTCAATTCCGGAGAAACAACTGATCTGCGACCTATCTGGCATACTTCCCGAAGCGAAGTCTACCATCTCTCAGACAGCTGTTACCAGCTCAAGCAAGCAAGAGATGTTTGCAGGAAGGTGCTGTGCAAAAACTGCCTCCATGCAGTACAAGTTGCGGAGATTCGCAGGAACGATCCTTTTCAAAGAGGTGATACACGTCCACGTGGCACCGAAAGAGACATTGAGCGCTTCCAGACCTACGATGATGCAAGTACCACTCCTCATATGACGCAATTATTCAAAGATGCATTGCATGCACAAATGGCCGAAGAAGCCATGCAGATTACCTATACATCGATCCCCAAGGGATCCTCGGCAAAAGCCAAAGGTACATCTGCACTCTCAAGTGCCGCATCGTCGTCAGCGCCCAAGGCAATGCCACCAGTGCCTAACAAGGCAAACATGTCACCTCCACCTAAGAGTCCTCCGCCAAAGGCGAAAGGAACAGTACCTTCAGATCCTCCGAGACCAAAAGGTCCTACCAGAAGAGGAGGTCAAAATCGGCGCATTCAACGAAAGGCAGCCAGAGAAGCCCACAACAGTGGACTCTGCACCTATGCAGACGCTGCACTTAACGAAGCCAATCAAGGCCAGGCAATTAACATTACGTGCCGAAACATGGCAGCAAGACACGTCAGCTCTATCGATGCAACGGTAGAAGCAGCCGATCAGTTTACACAACGCGTGCTACAGCACGTAGAAACATATGATGAAGAGGAACCGTGGAGCACGGAGTTTCTACCAGTCGTGGAAGTCCTATTCAGGAACTTAAGCGGCGACGAAACAACTGTCATACATGACAATCAAACGGTAACTATGCCTCTTACGAAATACACAGACCTCCTCAGAATCGCACAATCATTGCGAAGCTCTATCCAGAGAGACAAGGAGGAAAGGAAGGAACATCTTGACACCATCCAAGATACTCTATCCAGAGTGGAAATCCTTCTAACAGCACTGAAGGACTCAAGGACAGTCTTTAACCAATTGGTCCATTCCTCACTAGAGATAGAGCGAAGAAATAACAATCTCAAAAATGTCCTCGAGACACTCTTTGACGACCAAAGCTCTGAGGAAGACCAGTCAGAATCTGACAATGAAGAAGTCCTAACTCCTTCTGCAGCACAGTACTGGAATAGCCTTTATGCCCACGCCTTATCTCCTTCAGGAGATGAAAGTGAAAGATCATGGGCGTCCTCAGACGGACAGCTTGAAAGAAGAAGGGCTGAACGGGCAAAGGCTAAGCAGCCACAACCGGCTAAAGCCAAGGCAACTCCAGTCAGCTCACAAGCTGCGCCAAAGGCCGAGCCAAAGGCGACAACATCCAACCATGGATATGATACTGCAGACGCCGCCTTCACCAGGGCTGAGAACAGACTACTCGGAATTTATTCAAGTTCCGAAGAAGATCACTCAGACCCGGATGAGCCACATCCGAACGTCTACGCTCGAGCCTATGATCCAAACCTGGATCCAAATCTGAGATAAGGAAAATCTCGGAGTTTCACAACAGTGACTCACAAAGCTCTAACAAGAGCAAAGTGAAGGGCTGCATAATTCGATGTAGAAAATATCACCAGACATGATCTTGTACAGACGATCTCTCTGACCAACATGCATGAGTGTGTGCAAAAGGAGTGTCCTCAGCAGTGTACTTCAGTGCTATACCTAGCTTAAATAATATGCTGTTTTCATCATGAGTCCAGACTCCGCAACTGTGACAGTGGGCATAATAGTATATGTGTGAATGTGCGGCCATGCTTCCGGTAAAAGAAAATTAGTGTCTGTTTGAAACCATAAACCTCTAAAGGGGTAGCTCTAACAGGTACCTACAGCAATGGCTGCATGCTCATACATATACATTCCGCTGCCCATTGGCTCACAGTGGTTTTACCATATTGAGACAAGACAAGCTCTCCTTGCGTAGCAAGACAAAACAACTACTGTCCGTGTGCAGGGCGCTGCCCTTTGATCCTTAGGGAATAACTGGTCATACACCTCCTAACAAGGAGTATTCCTTGTGGGTGTATCGGCACAGGGGGAGGGGGGGGGGGGGGGGGGGGGCAGTGTTTTTGTACATGTTCAAAGACTTACCCCCCCCCCCCCCTCCCCCCCCCTCCCCCCCCCTCCCCCCCCTCCCCCCCCCCTCCCCCCCCCCCCCCCCCCTCCCCTCTCCCCCAAAAGCAAAGCCATCACCGCGCCACGAGTCCAACCAACCAGTTTACAAACCTCACCGTACTGCAAGTCTTGCACATTGACACACTGATACGTTCACTGGATTTTTGCCACGTACCGGTTCGTGTGGAATAGACCAAGACCTTGTTTGATTGAGAAAACTATGAAACCCCTGGTATTTACGGTGTTTCTGCGTATGGGAAACACAATGTTATGTGGTTGGTTGTTGATAAACACCTGGCCTTGTTTATAAACAACAGAGCTGTCCATAAACACAGGGTTCACAATATTGTACACATATGCGTATACCTGTCTTCCCGTGTAAACACAAGTGTTGTTGCTACAAGCTCAGAGGTCCAATCTTTGCCACCTTTATAACCTTCGAGGACCAGAAGGATATGAAAGGATTGATTGTATATCAAACCAAAAGAATTTCTGATACAGGTATTTGTGGAAATGAAGGCCATGCAAGATCATGCAAAGGCCTGGACCACGACGGTTCGTACAGCTTTATCATTCCCCAGGCGAGGCTTCAGCGCGAGCGGCCCCATAAAACCAACTGTCCGGCTTCAGAATTCATATTGATCCAGATGCTCGCTATTTTGGATTGTAGACTGTGTGTAACCAAAGCGATAGTACCTACAGCAGCCAGCAGGTCATGAACAAGCGCAAACAGGATTTGAGTCATCTTCGACAAGTAGCAGACTGACTTGTTAGCCACAGGCAGCTTTTCATTATTCCTTGGTTCCTTGAAAGTCACACACGCTAATACATAAGTTGAACTCACACGAACTTGTTGACATGCCATAACAGATTTAAAGCACTGCCCTAAACACTTATTTCGAATCCTGTGCACTTTTCCAAATAAGTACGCTAATTCAATACCTACAGGTTCTCCAACAACCGAACACTGCATGCCAAAGCAGATGATGCAATGGTTCTGGTGTTGGGTGGATTGGCTTGATAGAATGAAGAGTCTTGCAGGGATGAGATAAAGGCTCCGTGTCGCACGTGTCGAGTCTACGTGGCCTGCCCCAAGACTTGGTTTGATAAAGTGCAGAATACACGGTATTTACGGTGTTTCATGCCTGTGGTAGTTGTTGTGGGAAGAACTTTGAATACGTAGCCACTCAATGCCTACATGTCGTACCCGTTGACGTCTGATTTTACACAGGCTAAGCCTGACCCTGAATACATTACTCAGGAAAAGAAGTGTACGGGACTTTGTGGTGTAATGCTGCGTGTACCTTTCAAGTGCTTGAAGTTGTTTGAATGCAAAAACCCAGGCCCCACAGCAACCTGCTCTCCAGAAGAGGAGGCTGTCTCTCTCTCTCTCTCTCTCTCTCTCTCTCTCTCTCTCTCTCTCTCTATATATATATATATATTATATATATATATATATATACATATATATATGTATATATATATATGGGCATACCCAAGGGTAGCAAAGTAGCTAAATATTTTTATGCCCAGCTACTTCTTGTTTCGCAGCTCGGCGACTTTCCTTGGCATCGACACGGCTCAATGTGTGTGTGGGGGTGTAGGCACGGGTTTAGGATCTAGGGGTTGAGGGGTTGAGGCATTTAGGGTTTTGGGGTTTAGGTGTGGGTGCATTTGAGGGCTCCATGAAAGGATCTTCCCAGGTTAAGGTCCTACAGTTGAAGCTGCTAGCGCCTGCAGCGCAGAGCTTGCCTACACCGGGAATTCCTTGTATCCCCAAATAACCTACTCGTTTTAAGGACTTCGAGAAGGAAATCATAATAGGGAATCTTAAAAAGGAAGGTCTCTATAGGGTCCCAGGTGGAGCTTACGAAGGCATCTAGAGGGTTTCAGGGGTCTCTTGGGGCCTATAACAGGCTCACAACCCTAAACTCCCAAAACCCGAAACCCCTACACCCCTAAACCCTAAAACCCTAAACCCTAAACGACAAACCCAATAACTGGAAAAGACCGGAAATGAGATAGCAGGGATCTTCAGCTGGTGACAAGCATCCTGCTGCTTGGGGTTTCCACGCGGTTCCCTTCTCTTCTGAAACATTCGGATTCATGGCTTGAGGATTCATGGATTAAGGATTCATGGCTTAAGGATTCATGGCTTAAGGATTCATGGCTTAAGGATTCATGGTTTAGCGGTTTAGGGTTTAGGGGTTTAGGGTTTAGGGGTTTAGGGTTTAGGGGTTTAGGGTTTAGTAAGCTTTTCGATGCCGGCTTGAGTCCCTAAACCCTAAACTCCTAAACACACTCTTTATACCTAGAGACTCCAATACCCCTTAGTTAAGGAATATTCCTTAAAATCATATTAGGGATCCTACTATAATTTAAGGTATATTCCTTACTTGAGGGATGTTGGAGTCTCTGGGTAATTCAGCCCTATCTTCCAAAGTCCAAAACCTGAGGCCCTAAGCATGTAACCTCCAAAGGCTAAAACCTTGATAGCAGCCCTACAATGGGTAGCTTCCCATCATTTACATATAATATGCTTATGTGTTGTCTTAGGCTTAAGCACTAACCTGACTCCCTAAACTCCAGACCGCGTTACACTGAGCAGTCGGGCGGCAGCTCTTTGTAGGTGTTGGGAGCGTAATAGGACCACTTCCAGGTGAGCATGGACCTGGGCTTCTACTATTGAGCTCCTTTCGTTTAGGATTTTCTGTCAAGTAGGGTGTTCTTCGAATTCGGAGTGGCCATACAACGAAAACTTGACTTGTATATGGGTTCTCATCAACTCAGTTTACAGAGAGTTCTGTTTCCGCGCTCCCTTTATATTGCAGCCCGATGCTAGTTCACAGCCGGAGCTTCACACTTACTTACAGGGGCCTCAGGAATCACAACGGGGTTTTGGAGGAGTTTTTCACCATAATGAATATCGCTACTAGGGTCTATGAGGGTTCTGGTGAATCTTATACGAACAAGACTATGATTGTATTGGGGACATAAGGGAATACAATTATACGCTATTTAGGCTTCAACATTACTTTGTACTCACACACAAGCGGAATCCTACTGAAAGTCCAGTTATCGGAACACCCATAAATCATCAAGGTACACGTATTCGTCATTTATGAACTCATGATTCTCTTCGGCACAGAGAGCAGGAGTTCTAGTTTCTGGCATGCCAGATGAATGTTGTGCTGCCTTGCACGGCTGCACCTAACCTACATTCCCTAAGACCCCAGAGAAAGACCTAGCATGGCGTCGGGCTTACCTTAAGGGCTTTGCTAAGGTTTAGAGTCTAGAGGTTTAGAGGTTTAGAGGTTTAGCGGTTTAGGGTTTGGGGGTTTGGGGGTTTTAGGTTTAGGGCTCAGACTCTAAACCCTAATCCCTAAATCCTGAACCCTAAACATCTAAACTTCAGAGGTTTAGACTTAGAGTTTAGGGACTTAGGTTGAGAGTTCGGGGTTTAGGGCTCAGGGTTTATTAGTATATCGACAGGTTCGGCGACAACTGCCCCCAACGTTTAAAGCCGTTCCAAACCTACCATTCTGTCGCTCCGTTCTGCCTAGCCTAATATCAACCCGGAATCGTAGAAACCAACAACGCTGAACAGGAAAAGCAGTATCCCAAATCGCTCATGCTCACCGAGAACCTTTCAGAAACTAACCCTGAGCCCCAGCCCCCTAAACTCGAGTGCATGGTTTAGAGCTTAGGTTCAATATAGTGGCCTAAATACCTACCCAATACTACTTTGGGTAAACCCTAATTCCAAACCCTAACCCCTAAACCCTAAAAGATTACCTTCAACATCCTTCAACTCAAGCTCTCACCACGGCCGCGGGGCACAAAAGGCAGAATTTTGCGATCCTTCTTGCTCCAGCCTTCCTCAGCACGGCGTTTCCCACAGTTTTGGTTTAAGGTTTAGGGTTTAGGTCTTAGGGTTTAGGGCTTAGGGTCCGCGATTTAGGAGTCTCCGAAAATAGGGGACCCCAATATAGTACCCTAGCTAGTAGGATCAAAAAAAAAAAAGGGGGCCCCAAAATAAGGTACCCCTCATTGTCGGAAACTCCCATTTAGGGGGTGTAGGTCTTAGGGGTTAGGATCTAGGACACTAGTCGTCTGGAAGTTTCAGAGTTTAGGGCTTAAGGGTGTAACCAAGAGGATCCATATATACTAGTACTATGGAATTAGGCTCCCAAAACCATACAGGGATGGTCTTATGGGATCTGATTCCATAGTTGCAGTATATATGGACCCTCAGGGGGTGAAGGCATGATTTATGGTCTGTACATGTCTATACTATAGTCTATACCTGCGACCCGAAATAGCTTACCTTCTTGGGTTGGTGAGGTTTTCTCGACATGTCCTTGAAGGCTAGGGTTTTCGGCGCTAAAGCTAGGCTCGGGGGTGTAGGATTGAGAGATCCGGGTTTACGGTACCAGACCCAAAAGTTCAAAATCGCGCAGTGTCCAGGGCTTGTGCTACCATACCTCCACAAAACAAGAATCCCAAAGTTGTCGAATCAAGCCAGAGAATTACAAGGCGCTCGGTCGGTACTTATCATGATTCATGCAAAACCACGCTTACGCATGGCAACATCCTCACATCGCATCCTGAGCGTAGAAACTAGACTCGACATTTTACCCCTAAACCTGTGCAGATCCTCTGAGCGGTCCCATAACGGAACCCCGAAAGGAACCCTTAACCCTCTTTCTTCCAATCTCAGCGTCTGTGTTCCTCTCGACGAGGTCCGGGTCGTCATCCTCGCCTCCAATGCGTCTCAATCGGCAGCCCTCGAAGTGTAGGAGAATCAAACGAGACCCTTGTACTACAATCGTTTACCCATAGACTCATAGGCTAGACCCAAGAGTAACCTAGGAATAAAAAGGGTGCCCTTTTTGGTTTAAAGGGGCTTAATAAGGGAACCAGAGCCCTAAAAAAAGGGAATAAGGGCCTACTCCAGGTCCTAGTAGGGCTCCCTTTGAGGACCTTGATCCGGGCCCGATGCTTGCACATCAGGTTTACGGTTTCGTGCTCAGGACTCTAGGTTCACATATGTTACGTGCGTGCAAACAAACAAACACACAACCAAGAAAACATACATACATGCATACATCCATGCATGCGTATGTATATACATACATACATACATAGATAGATAGATAGATAGATAGATAGGTAGGTAGATAGATAGATAGATATGTGTGTACATACCATAGCATACACACATGCATTGCAAAGGCCAGGTTGCGAACGATATCGGACAGCCCAAGAGCGGCTGTGTCAAAGCATGACCCGAGCTCTGTACGATGCAACGAAGGCAACCAGGAAGGCGAAACCCCCAAACCCTAAATTTACCAAACCATAAAAGGCCCAAGCCCTACACCCCTAAACCCCTAAACCCCCCAAATTTCTAAATCTCTTGAAGAAACCCAACCTAATCCCGAAACCCTGCAAACCCTAAACACCTAGATCCCTCCAAGCCCAAAGCCCTTAAGCCGGCCAGGCGGCTAAGGCGAAAATGGTGAAGGTTGTTGTGCTCGATGCTCCAAGCTTCGGGTAGCATCCAATCCTGAAAGGGTTTAGGGTTAGGGTTTCCAATCCTGAAAGCTTAGCTGGACTTTGAAGTAACCAGGGAGAAAGAGTATAGACTGCTATTTCATAACGGTTCCTTTAAGGAACAGGTACCAAAAAAAGTATTCTCAAGTATGGTACTCCAAACCCAGGATGGGGTTTACTGTTTATGGTTTAGGGGTTAAGGGTTTGGGGGCTAGACTAGAGTTAGGGGTCAGAGCCTAAGGTTTAGATAGCGTTAGGCTTTGGGGTTCAGTCAACATCAGGTTGTGGGTTCGGCGTGGAAGTTCGCCAGTGTCCCCTCAATAGTAAGGGTACCTTTTTGCCTTGGCAATTATTCGGTTTTACTAAGGCGGCCCTGAAATGCGAAGGGCGCAAGGGTGCACTGAGGAACCTAGATCAACCTAAACCCTTACCCCTAGCCCTAGCCTAAACCCCTAAAACCTAAACTCTGAAACTGAAGGTCAGCAGTGAAGATTCGGAGTGCAGCTGAACAAGGAATCTGCGGTTTCCGGCGAAGGCTCGGGAGGGAATCCGGGTCAGCGCCCTGAAGCCCTAAAGAGATACAGACTTGGATCCATTGGGTTTAGGGAGACTCGGATCCATTAGAAAACACCCTAAACTCTACGAACCCTATGAGCCCGAATCCCGATTCCCAGCCCCGCAGTTTAGTAGAACGAGCATCCCTGGATCCGCTCTATACTCTCGGAGGCCTCAAAAGGTGGGATGAAGGTAGGTAGGATTAAGGATCCCTTATATAAGGACTCTTATTTGGGAATATCCCACCTAGCTTCATCCCACCTTTTGAGGCCTCCGATACTCTTAAGTCCTGAAACCCTATGAACACTAAATCCGGAAACCCGTAAACAAACCTTCGTATAAACCACGCTAGGAGTCTCAAAATCGAACCTAACTCCGAAGAAGGATCCCTACTACGGCAGGTCTATATGTTGCGAGGTCCAATATTTTCTGCAACCCTTGTCTAGCTTTGTAGTCCAAAACCCAGAAGACCCCGTGATCCCAAAATCGCGTACCCTAAACCTCGCAGCCAGCATGAAGCAAAGCTTCGAACCAATCTTGAACACGGCGCCACAGTGTGCCGAGGGCAAATCCACGGCTGCCTTGCTTGCGGAGTGTTTAGTTTGTTTTTTTGCTTGGGGGTTCAGAACCCTTTTCTTGGGGTGGTGGAGTGCGGGTCTTTCGGATATTGAAACCTTGCCAGGCACTTCAGAGTTCGAAGCTTGCAGGTTTTGGGGCGGCGTTAGAGTTTTAGGGTTTGGGCTCGGGTTGGAGGGCATGGGATTTTGGTATTTAGGGTCTTTAGCTAGGGTTTAGAGATTTGGGTCTTGAAGGCTTGTGTCTCCACCCACAAAACTTCTTAAATCTCGGCACCTAAGTACTGAGTCCTTTAATCTTTGGGGGACCAGAGTGCTGTATGCCTACATACAACCCCGCGCCTTGAGTTCCTTCATCGAACTTACTGTAACAAACCCCGAACAAAGTATTTAGTGTTTAGGGTTCCTTAAACTAAGCCTTAAACGCTGAACTGTAAACCCTCCAAAACCCTAAACCCTCAAACGCCTCAACAAAATCTACAGCCCCAAAGCCCTCAACCCGAAGAAGGTGCTATATCGGCCCGTATCATCCGTCCGGTTGTAGCCGCCGTGGCAGACGTGATGACCCATCCTCAGCTTGATGCGGGCTCTTCTGTACTTAAAGGATCATGGGACTTAGTAACTAGGGTTATAATTAGGGTAACTATACCTATAACTACTTATAACCCCAATTAAGGTGCTTATAACCCTACTTACTAAGTCTCATGATCCTCCAAGTAGGGACTCTGCGGGGTTGGGCTCCTCAAACCCTACTTGGAAGTTCATGGGTAGTTATCAGGATTCCCTTAAGTGTCCCTGTAAAGGTACCTATACGGACTCTATAAGGGTATAGGCTGTATAGGGTCTAGGGCCTGCTTGGAGGTTCATGGGTCGTTGTAAGTGGGGTTATAAGTAAGGTAAGTCTACTTATAACTCTTATTTGGGGGCTTCTAACCCCTCTTATACCTAGCCATGAACCTCCAAGTAGGGTTCTTTTGTAAGGAGTTCTTCAAGAACTTAATAGTCTTCGGTGGTAGGGCTCCCTGATAATGTAACAAGACAATCTGGGCGTCTTCATCAGATAGTATTCCTCAGGCTTCCTGAATAGTCTAGCGCACATTATACACCAGACCCAAATTCCTCTAACCATAACCGTCCCAAGTTGAATGTAGTGTCAGTATCGTGCCTGGATGCTGTAGATGTAGTGGCCATAATCTGCCCCCCAACCTTGTTATTCTTCCCATTGTGAAATGCTAGTCCTAGACATCCCTAGACCCATGTGAAACTCGAGAGTCGAATCAGGATTAGAGAGGGTTTAGGGTTTAGGGTTTAGGGAGACCCAACCTCAAACTCTCAGAGTCTTCGAGGAATCGCCTGATATAAAGGGGCCTTAATACTCAGAATAGGGTTTTTGAGGGTATATTTTACTGAAGTCACATTAAGGAACCCCCCAAAATAATATTGGTAAGTATTTAGGCTCCAATGTTACAATGGAGGAGTGAGGGCTAGGGTTCAAGTTACCAAGAAAGGGACCTTAATGACTAGAATAATTAGGGTTTGGGACCCATTCTACTTAACTGTCATAGGAAGCCGCAAAACAGTATAGGTGCTTATATGGGGGTTTCCGAAAACTAGGGTACCTTATGGTCCTTAGAATAAGGATCCTACTATTTAGGGGGCTATCTTAGAATCCCCTATTTTCGGAAACTCCCGTATAGGTGCTTATATAGGCCTCTACATTATGTGGAGCGGCTCTTTGGTAGGTCCCGCAAGTCCAAGGCACATCGTCCACGCGCTGTGGGTCCACAAGCTCAGGGCAATCACAGACCTCGGAGGGTTTAGGGTTTAGGGGTTTAGGAGTCTGGGAGCCTTGTATTCCTCTGTATGCGGGTCTTTACACGATAATTTAGGAGCTCGGCAGGGACTGCCCAGGGGTTTTAGCAAGCCTTCTCTTGATAGTCCAAGACAAAATCCTGAACCCTAACACCTCGGACCAACAAAGCAACTAGTTCAGGGTTCGTAGGGGTTTGTGTGGCGAGCTGAGATACTAGAATTTTAAGAGCACTAAGCTCTACCTCTCCAAGTCACGCACTTAACCCGAAAAACCTACTAGGGTCCCTAGAAACGTAGATGCCTGTTGAAATCCGATGAATCCTGCCATAAGAGGAACCCTTAGAGGAGCCGTTAAAGGAGCCCTTAAAGGAATCCGTAAACGGAACCCTTAAAAGGAACACCTAAAGGAACCCTCAAAGGAAACCAAGTAGCAAAGGATTCGGCCCCATCCACATCGTACCGAGGCCGACGATCGCACAAAGACGGCTCCACCAAACCCTTGGCATTCAGGGCTGAGGGCTTGTAGGGTTTAAGGTTTATAGGACTTATTGGGTTTATTCTAGGGTTTATTATAAGATTTGATAGGGTTTATACGGTTTAGGGCTTCGGGTTTGTGGTTTTAGATTAGGGCTCAGATTGGGTGGGTGGCGGGGGGGGGGGGGATTCACGGGTTAAAAGCTTCATGGCCGTGTATAACCATGCAAGGGTTTGCAAGAACTTCTACCTGTTATACGGGATTGAAAGCTTTCACGCGCTTGGGGTTGCTGACGCACTAGGGTGTGGAGTCGGGGGTTCGGAGTCCCCTAAACCCTAAACTTATAAACCCCAAAGGAGTTTAGCATGTTCCTGCTGCACACTACACGCCCCTGCAGCTCCGCAACTCGAACCATTTCTCGTAGAGGGTTTCGTGACCCCGTCGAGTTCAGACAAGCCTTTGGCACGATAGTGGATTAGTGTAGGACAGTATGTAAGGTTCTGGTGCTATCAAACGAAAACCATCCCAAGTAACCCTGTGTTACTAGTTCATTAGGCTCCTCTATCCGTATTCTCTGGGAACACATCAGAGCCCTCCTGAACCCGAAACTGCAAAAACTGAACGGTCTAGGGTTTGAGGCTTAGGATTTAGGGCTTAGGGCTGGAGGTTTAAACTGAACCCCTTACCCCTGAAGCCCAAAATTCTACGACCCCGTCGCCCTAAACAACCCTACAGCCTGTTTCTGGCATCGGACGCAACTTTCGGCTTGGTAATGTAGGGACCTTAATAATAAGAACAGGGTTTGGGGGTATATTATACTATATTTATACTAAGGAACACCCAAGACCCTACTCTAAATTATCAAGGCCTATACATTTACCATGATAGCTTGGGAACGTCTCATGCGTCGAAGGCTGTCTGTGGAGACCATCTCAAGGAAATATAGGGAACTAGGAACCCAAACATTGCTTAGTTGCCCAGTATCCTAGGGACAGTACAAGTTAAGCTTCGGGACTACAAAGAGATTGCAATACCTCTAAACAAGGTTAAAGGTTGCCTGCTGTACTAAGGGCTGTGGGGCTTAAGAACCATAATCAGCTCCCCGTTCCTTCCGGCCGATGTGACAGAAAAAGAGTTGTAAAGGAAAGGAGCGTCATCACATTTCCTTTGCGTGCCATGCTGGGATACAAACGTTGCAAAATGCTTCGAGCTAACTTCATAGGCCAAAACCTGAACCCTGCTGACGATCGTATCTTCGGATCGCTCAGTATTTCGGCCGAGGCTGCACACAGTTCAAAGCTCGAAGCACAAGAGAGCGGACGTGCCAGCTGGCCTACTGCTGTTGCACACGACCCTCACATGCCTTCCTTACGTACTGAAGCTAAGGAGGAATCTTGTTCATCAGCTGTAGCTTGCTCTGCTGACTGCGTCGGCAAAAACTGCCAGCAAGGTTCCTGCAAAGGCTGCATGCAGGTGAAACCATCACGCAACGACCTTTCCGGTGCATGTCGGAGCCACAGCAACCCGACCATGCAAGACGGCAGCTGACGTCCAACCCGGAACCCTGCAACCATGCTATCATGTGCCTGGAGCTCCGAAATCGAGTGCTTTAAAGGGAACTCCAAAAAGTTGGAATATAGTTTCAGGGTAGGGTACCTTATAATTTACCCTAAAGGGGTTACGATAATCATATTCCAACTTTCTGGCTTTTACTTTAAGGGGTTATGCGCGACAATTCAACGCAGAGGCCATAACCCACTATGTGGTAGGGCTTAAGCTGTAGACTCGACCCTGAAGGCCATAGGTTCGTAGGCGTCGAAAAGCTGCCTCCGGGATGGTCGGGAGATGCTCCGCTCCGTATAGTAAACGCCCAAAAGTTGGAAATTCAGTAGCCTCAATCCTTAAGAGTAATGTGCCAGTTTCCGAAAATTAGGGGTACCGTATTTTGTGGTCCTTGTAATAAGGATCCTACTATTTAGGGTACCATATTAGGGTCCCCTATTTTCGGAAACTCCCATGTATAGGGAATCCCAGCACTATTTGTCCACAATCCGGTTTCCATGTTTCTGGGGTTTGCCATAGGTGTACGCTGCAACAGCGTGCCTCCGGGACCCACTTCACACACATTGGCCGCAGACTCTGTTCACATGCAAAATGTACAGGTAATTATATGCATGGAAACATACATACATACATGCATGCATACATACATGCATACATACATATATTCATGCATGCATACATGCATTCGAAGATTTCTATACGCACACCTACCATGTATCTACAACAGAAGTTTACATCTTCGAAGTCAGGCCAGGGGCAGATCACCAGTTGGAGTCCTAAACCCTAAACCCTCATTTTAGGGAAATTTGGAGGCCCAGGACATGGGTGGACCTGTTCCATAGGTAGATATGGGAGTTTCCGAAAATTAGGGGTACCTTATTGGGGGGGTCCTTATAATAAGGATCCTACTATTTAGGCTACTAGATTAGGGTCCCCTATTTTCGGAAACTCCCATATGTCAGGTCTGCATGCGCATAAACATCGCTGGTAGTGTTTGGTCATATATGGACTCACACAACTATAGTACTGCTGAAACTACATAACTCCATTCGCACGTCGTCCTCACATGTAGCCACTTGCAGTACTCCGCAGGCACTCATTCGACCAGCATGTGCGACCACTGCGTGCCCGAAAGCGCCTCTCTGACTTCATCCCAGTTCTGCACGAAGTTTTCAAGCTTGCCGCTGTGCAGCTGTTGATAGTGCGAGGCCACCTTGACTGCGGGAGCTTTACAGGCGGTCCCACGCAACATGAAAGCCCAAACGTCCTCTAATCCGTTCAGAAGATCCTCGTAGTAGACGCGCCGGTACTGAACGGCGTTGGATTTCAGATACCTGCTGACACTGTCATTCTCCCTGGAGCTCTCATTGAGATGCTTCAGAAGCCTCTTGGGCTCTATGTTGATTTTCTGCTCCGCGATCGTCTTGACCACGGTCTGATCCTAGGTCGTTCAATACTTTCAGCCACTGGGAAAGGTCTTCGCTGTTTTAGGCTAGGAACCCAGAAGCAAGAAAGCACTCTCCTAGTACGCAGTATACCACTGAACAAGCTAGGATCCGTTGTCGCAGCCAGGTGCTGCATGGCATTAGCGTAGCCCGAGACGAGTCTTCTCAGCAGGTTTCTGCGCTGCACCCAAAGGATTCGCATGGAGTGGTTGGCAGCATACCTAGGTTGCCCACATTTTTTCATCACGTGAATGTGAGTAGGTACGTTTTTCTTCCTGTTCTTCAGTTTAAACAAAGGGATCCACACATACTATTGTCAGACCGAGATACGGGCGAAACCAGTCCGGCCAGTCACTCAGAAAGCCTTGGTCGATTTTCCAATTAAAACCTCGGATACTTCGACCGCGCTTTAGCCGAAGGGCACTTTGTTGAACGTACTGCTCTACCACCCGTGGCATCTTCTTGCCATCGAAAACCATATCACTTGGCACCTGGGCAGGATCGAAAAATCTCTGGATGGCCATTCTGCGCAGTGCAGGAGGCCACCAGGAAGTGTGATTGCAGCATAGAATCTCTGGCTGTATATCAATGCACGGGTGCTGGTTGAGCTGTTCTGTCAGCCAGTGCGTACCCGAGTGCTGCTGGGCCAGGAGGACAACCCAAGTCTGTGTCGGCTCCACTTTTCTCTGGGCTTCCTGTGCAGACACCGTTTGCTTCGGGGGATCAGAATCATCAGCTGTCTCAACATTTTCACCCACGCGGCTAGAGCGAGGTGATATCGTCCATGAATGCATCATACTTGCCTCCAGTGCAGAAGCTGCTTGTCGTGATTGACCAACAGCCTTCGCATGAGCTGCATCCATGGGGCTTGAGGGAGGTGAAACCATCGATGAATGCATCATACTTGCCTCCAGTGCAGAAACTGCTTGTCGCGATTGACCAACAGCCTTCTCATGAGCTGCACCCACGGGGCTTGACGGAGCTGAAACCATCGATGAATGCAACGTGCTTGCCGCCAGCATTCCGCCCAGAACGATTCCATAGAACAGACCGCGCCAGAAAGCCATGCGTTTGCTCACAATCTCTGCTGCACATAGCTAGAAGAGTCACCCGGAAACGTGCAAGTTGGCCCTCTGTTTTGCTCTTTACTGCGCCCCATGAGAGTACCCTGATATGATGTAGGGTTCAGGGCTTCAGGTTTGGACCAATTTACACTCCATCTGGATGACTTCTAGCGAAGCGGTGATCCCAGAGCTCTATACCCCCCTTAGAACCATAATAAAAATACAATTTCAAAATGTTCTCTTGGGTTTTATACGAACAAAACTGGACAATAATTCCTGAGGAAACTATAGTAAACGAAGCGCAGCTTGACTGACAGCAACTTTGCGGCAACCTCCCCTTCACCGGCTGTTTGCGCCGCTAAGCCCCAAGCAAGACCTCTAAACCATCAAGTCCGAGAGAGAGAGAGAGAGAGAGACATCTATGTGTATATACATATATAGAAAATACCTACATACACATATACATGAGGTATATACATGTATATACATATATATATATATATATATATATATATTGTAAACTAAACACACAGCCCAAATGCAAGCCCTAGCATAGGGGCGTTCTGATTTGAATTGGGTCGTGATCGGTTTCTCCATACTAAGGAACCCTCAGGAGCACTGCGATTATGATGTATTAAGGCCCCCATGTTAAACCCAAAGACGCTTATAGCATCGAGGGTTCTTAAGTTCAAGCCTCTGGGCTTCCTGCGACGTGTCCTGCTCAACCCTGGCTTCCCCGATTTTCTCGGCTCCCTTTCCGGGACCTGACCTACTGTTGATGAGATACACCCTGTATTACCTCAAGGGCCCTAAACTATCGGAACTATGGCATTTTTCTTGCTATATTGGGTAATGCAGGCTTTATATCATCAACGGTAGGGTCCACAAACCCTAAACCATTAGGCTTCAAAAGCCTCTGCCCTGAGACCATGGACCCAAAACCCTACAAGCCCCCAACCCAAAACTTTAAGCCCAAACGAACGCTCGGCTGCTACGGCTGAGTCGCATCTTATGCAGGTGCTTCTGATCGTCCTCTCCTGGCCCAGACAGCGCGGAGGCTTTGAACAAACAGAACCCTTGGGCATATCTTCAGCCATAAAATGGCAGGATACTGTAGGGGCCTTAATAATTCGAATAAACTTTTGGGGCCATTATAATCAGGAACCCCCAAAAATAGTCTAGGCAATTCTTTAGGCCCCTATATTACTTGTTTGGTTGTCCGTTAGGGTTTCTGGTTCAGGGTTTAAGTTTAGGACTCCATTTGGGGGTTTCCGAAAATAGGGGACCCTAAGGAAGTACCTTGAATAGTAGGATCCTTCTTACAAGGACCCCAAAATAAGGCACCCCTATTTTCGGAAACTCTAAATCCTAAACCCTTTATAGAACCCTTATAGTACCCTTATAGTACCCCTTTAAAGGAACCCTAAGGTACCCCTAGTTTTCGGAGACTCCCATTTAGGGCTCGCAGTTGAGGGCTTGGATGGAGGGCTTTACGGCAGAGAGCGGTGGGTTTCGCGCTAGTGGCGTAGGGTTTAGGGTTTAGGGTTTAGGGTTTTAGGGTTTAGGGTTTAGGGTTTAGGGTTTAGGGTTTAGGGTTTAGGGTTTAGGGTTTAGGGTTTAGGGTTTAGGGTTTAGGGTTTAGGGTTTAGGGTTTAGGGTGTAGGGACTGGGACACTCCCAAACGAATGATAAACTCTTGATGACAACGCTTTTGGGCCTCCGGTCACGCTTTCCAACAGTGAGACGGTTCTAGGGTCATAAGTCATCAAAAGGACTCTAAACCCCGCCTTACGAACCAAACCCTCAAACCTACACGGCCAAACCCCGAACCCGAACTGCTTACCTGAACCCAAACACCTTTGCACCCACAAAACCGCATGCCAACTCTCTTGAAGGTGCTTTGGCTCAGGTCAATAGCAAAAGCCAAGAAAACCCTCAAAGACCCAGGTGTCCGCGGACCTTGTGCTGCCTTCAGTCGCTCTCCGAGGGCATGAACCTCCTTGCCGAAGCCCTGGCATAGAGCCAAACTCTTCAAAACCCCCTGTCTAAAGAATGCACCGTGTATCATCTTAAGTTCTCCAACAAACCTTAAACCTCTAAAAGATTCCTTGCACATCCTCTCAAGCTATCCGGGATTGCTTAGTGAGGGGATTTAGGGTGACGGAGTCACTGAACAGAAACACAAGACGTGTGACTGCAGGGGGGTTTGAGGGTACAGCATACATGGGAACGGTTTACTAGGAGAGGCTTTCAAAGCCTTTGAAAAATATTAGTAGGTAAGATCCTCTTAAGCACAATAAAAGAAAATATAAAATGTCCCAAAGCCCTGCCTAGTTTGTGTATTGCGGGGCTGTGCCTGGCTCAGGGCCGGGCCCAACGTTTCAGGGTGCCGCAGTGAGGGTTCATGTTTCAGATTTGGGAGTTTCCGAAAACTAGGGGTGCCCTATTTGGGGGTCCTTATAGTAAGGACCCTACTATTTAGGGTACTATATAAGGGTACCCTATTTTCGGAAACTCCCATGTTAGCGCAGATGAGTAGGAAAACAGGGTTTAAAGCCACAAGTACTTGCACCTCTGCCGGTCAGTCGTGAGACTTGTGCTTTTGTGAGGTTAGGGGGGGGGCGAAGGTTTTGGGTTTAGGGGTCAAGTCTACAACTTGTCTGGCACGTTGCTTACAGTCGCACTGCAACTGTTGCTCATTTTGCTCCCATCTGCCGTACCTTCGTTAGTTGCTTTGGAGGTGACTGCAACCCTCGACGTAGTCTAGAAAGGGTGGGTAAAAAAACAGCTGGTGAGTCCCTCGGTAAAATCAACTCACAAACACTAATCCTGAACCCCAAAGCCTAGACCGATGATTGAAGAACCGGAAAGACATAGGGGCTGAGTACCTTGGCCCATAAACGGTCAATATGATTAAGCCCCAAAACGTTAAAGGTTACCTACTCTAAACCCTAGACCCTAAAGGTTACCTACTCGGCTGCAAAGAAGATGGAAGACACCTCCAGGTCCATGCTGGCAATCCACTGGTCTTCCGTCCTTGCGGAGTGGTGTGTTGCAGGGCCTCCTTTCTGGTTTTAAGAGGGTCTAGGGTTTGGGGCTTAGGGTTTAGGGCGTTTAGCATTTAGGGTTTAGGGTTAGGGCTTGGGGCGTCTAGGGTTTAGGGCTTACGGTTTGCGGCATTTAGGGCTTACGGTTCAAGGTTCACGGCATTTAGGATTTAGGGTTTATGCTTAGGGTGCTTACGGTTCCTTTGCAGTGTCTAATTATTCAAAATTCATGGCTGGCTGGGTGTGGTGCCTAGAAGTCACCTGTTTCCTGCAAGGACAAACATCCAACTTGCTCAAGCGGAAAAACGAAAGCACCTAACACCAAAAGCAGTCGAACGCGGTCGAAACCCAAGCATTTCGCAGGCCGGCACCGAGGCAAAAGCAGCAAACTCCAAAGCTCCGCATATGTAAAAACACTTTTTGCTGAACCAGCGCCCTGAGCCGAAAACCAATGCAACCCTAAAACCCTAAACCCTAAACCCTAAACCCTAAACCCTAAACCCTAAACCCTAAACCCTAAACCCTAAACCCTAAACCCTAAACCCTAAACCCCTAAACCCCGAAACCCCAGCTCCAAGCCCTGAAGCCCCTGTTCCAGACGTGAGAAACCTTCGACTACATAAACACCAAGACACGGGGGGACACCGAAATCTACATCCACTCTGGTACAAACTGTCAAGGTCCTAAACCCTAAACCCTAAACCCCAAAGGTTCTATGATGAGGGCTTGAGGGGCACTATATTCTTTGTGTGTTATATATATATATATATATACATACACATAATATATGAGCCCGCACGGTCACACGAGCAAAGGGATCCTGCAACGAGGATCCTCCCAACACCCCGGATGGAGGTTTTCGGGGGCCCCTGTATGGAATCTGTACGCTTTCATGGCATTCCACGGGGGTTTCATTGGGTTTTACAGGAGCTCTGCAAGCTCCTTCCAGGAGCCCTTGAAGGAACCCTAAACCCTAGGCCCTAAACGCTAAAGGAACCCTTTTAACCCTCATCTCGAGGACTCCTCAGTGCTACAGCTTCGCCACCCCGTGCACCGCGAGGGAGCTTTTTCTTTCTCCTGAAAAGGATCCACTCGGGGGTTGGGGTTCAGGGTTGAGGGTTTAGGGGAGTTTAGGGTATCTTAAGGTAGTTTAGGGTAGTTCAAGGTGGTTCCGGGGAGTTTATAAGCAAGAGGTAGTTTAGAGTTCGAGACACCGATGTGTAAATCCACGACGCCGGCTTTGAATTGCCCCTCTTGGCGAGGCTTGATAGCCCAGAGGATCCATGGACCCATGTAGACGATACTGCGGCTGTAAAGCTACTGCACAGCAGCCCCTTTTGAGGCCTGCGAGCATAATTACACTGTTTTGCATATGAACCTTGAGGGTAAGGCGTTGATGCTGACTGATGCGGACGTGGAAGGTTCTTGCACGGCACAGCGTTGCATCTCTTGCTGCAAGAACTTGCGATTGATATAACTTTGATGGGTCGGTAGCAGCGTATCAGGCTTCCCCACGGTCAAGCACTCTCCCGTATAATGTAGGGGCCTTATAAGAGATACATAGGGTCTCGAGGTATAACTATCACTAGTGAAATACACGAAGTGCCTCCTCAGGCAATAAGGCGACATCTTCATTACAAATAGTTCCTCTATGAACACCCTCATCGAAATGCAAGCCTCTGCAACCGCCGTAAAGCCAGCGCTGCGCAGAGAACTGGCCCCGCGAGGCACACCGACCCTGGTGGCGCAAATGTCCTCCGAAGCTTGGCTTTCAGCCCTAAACCGAAATCCCAAACCCGAAATCAGAATCAAGTGAATCAATCAGAACCCTTAACCCTCAGAGGTTTAATCCCTAAACCGAAATCCCAAACCCGAAATCCCAAACGAGTGAATCAATCAGAACCCGAAACCCCAAACCCTAAACCCTAAACCCGAAACCCCAAAGCCTCAGAAGTT